GGACCCATGGTGTGATTGCTCCTACAAGCAGAGATATGTATAGAAAGCTCTGTATTTTTGATCATTTCTTCTTGGTTCTCACTTGGGACATCTGTGTTTCTGTTTCTCCTCCTCTTCCTGCCTTGGGGGAGATACAAAACACCTCTGTCATCTGCTCCCAAAGAGATCATCTGGAAAAACTGGAATGGATCCTTATAATAGTCTTAAAATGCCTGAAGGGGCTTACAAGAAACCTGGAGAGGGGCTTGGGACAAGGGCCTGTAGGGACAGGCCAAGGGGAATGGCTTTAACCTGCCAGAGGGGAGACTGAGAAGAGCTCTTAGGCAGAAGCTCTTCCCTGTGAGGGTGCTGAGGCGCTGGCACAGGGTGCCCACAGAAGCTGTGGCTGCCCCATCCCTGGCAGTGTTCAAGGCCAGGTTGGACACAGGGGCTTGGAGCAAGCTGCTCTAGTGGAAGGTGTCCCTGCTCGTGGCAAGGGTTGGAGCTGAATGAACTTTAAGGTCCCTTCCAACCCAAACCAGGTTGGGATTAATATAACTCTATGAAATCCACAAAAGGCAATTAAGGCAGGAGGAGGACAAGTTGGGGATGATTCTGAGGAGCAGGATTGGCTTTTCCCTCCTCCAGTCCTCAGGATTCAGAGATCTGGGGCTAAGCGTAAATGGGTTTCAAGGCATTTTCTTTGGGCAGGGCTTCAGGAAGGAGCTTTGTTACCGGGTAGCTGTAAAAAGTGCAGTGTTGTAAGACAGCATGTGTGTCTTGCTGAGCCACTACACAGAAATCCTGAGCTCCGAGGTACTTTAAGAGATTGCTTGCTAATTATTTATGTTAGTATAGCATTCAGGACAGGAACTTCCCGTTTATTCCTTGCTTTCTTTTATACCCAAAGGAATAAGCTGGTCTTATAATTCATTCCAGGCTTTGCTAGAAGAAAAGTTATCAGGCATTTATGATCAATTCAGTCTGGTCTCTGGAAGCAGATGTCAGTCAGACCATGTTAGTGGAGGTGGTGGTACAGAAAGCAGTGTTTAGCCAAGTTATTGTGAAAGTGAGGAATGGCTGCAGCAGTGCTGAGCCACTGCTGGGCTGGCAAGATGTGTGCTCAGATCCTCCATAGCAGCACATCATAGAACCACAGACCGGTTTATGTTGGAAGGGACCTTAAAGCTCCTCCAGCTCCAACCCCTGCCACGGGCAGGGACACCTTCCACTAGAGCAGCTTGCTCCAAGCCCCTGTGTCCAACCTGGCCTTGAACACTGCCAGGGATGGGGCAGCCACAGCTTCTCTGGGCACCCTGTGCCAGCGCCTCAGCACCCTCCCAGGGAAGAGCTTCTGCCTAAGAGCTCATCTCAGTCTCCCCTCTGGCAGGTTAAAGCCATTCCCCTTGGCCTGTCCCTACAGGCCCTTGTCCCAAGCCCCTCTCCAGCTTTCCTGCAGCCCCTTTAGGCACTGGAGCTGCTCTCAGGTCTCCCCTTCAGAAGCCTTCTCTTCTCCAGGCTGACCCCTCTCTATGAACAAGAATGGTTTAATGGTCAGCCATCCTGCTTGTATAAAGTCAAATTACATGGAAGAACTTATCTAATGAGATTTTGTTGCACTTAAATACTTGAAGCACTACCAAAGACAACATCCTAAGCCTACCAAATCTGTGTGCGTGTGCAACCTGTTAAGATACAAAAAGAGCCGTAGATCAAACCATTTATTCATCTTTGTGAGGTTTTCTCCTAATATCTTCTCTTTTGCTGCTTGTGTTGTGTTTTTTTTTTACCTTTCACTGCAGATTTCCATCACTGGCTCACCCCTCACCTCTGCTTTGTTCCCAGCTGTTGGCTGTGCAGCCAGGGATGCTTTGGTGGGATTGCCAGGACGTGCTTGTCAGCCAGTTCAGTTGATCTCTCTATTCCTCTTATTTTTAATGATCATTTCTGACTTGCTCTGGCCTAACTCACAGTGGCTGCTGTGAGCTTTCAGCTGGAGTAGGGTAGAAGGTAAACCAGAAAGATTCCACTTAGGCAGATATTTCCCTCACTGGGGCATTCTTCCATGCATGGCTGAATGGTTTAGAGGAATGAAACTCTGAGCAGCTGTAAATTAGCTTTGGTTTTGCAGTGAGAAAAGGCACCATCTCCACCCTGGGACAGCTAAGGAAGTTCAGGTTAGATATAAGGAAGAAGTTCTTCTCTGTTGAGGGTGGTGAGGCATGGGAACAGGTTCCCCAAAGAAGTGGTAAATGCTCCATCCCTGGCAGTGTTCAAGGCCAGGTTGGACAGAGCCTTGGGCAATGTGGTCTAGTGTGAGGTGTCCCTGCCCATGGCAGGTGGTTTGGAACTGGATGGTCTTAAGCTCCTCTCCAACCCAAACCATTCTATGATTGTATGACTCTATGGAACATGTTGGATGCCCACTTGGGTTTTCTCACCTCCTATCTCCTTTACCTGCAAGGCTCAAATGTGAATTTTTAGACCTAGAGCCAGCATCTCGTCCCTGTGGCCTTCTGTTTCTTCCCCCAAACATGTTTTTTTTTTTGGAGGCAGCTGTGGTTTTTATTCTCTCTAGGCAAAACCTGGCCAGGGCTGTATTGTTTTACAGGAGTGGCTGATTCATGTGCAGATGTAGCAGTGACAGCTTAGCTGTACAGTCATGGATGCTTTGCACGATTCAAGTGTGATTTGAAAGGATCCTTGGACCAGCTCTCCAGCTGTGGGAGATGCTGGGCTGTGCAGGTTAGCAAGAGGATCACTGTGCTGGTGACGTGGGAGTTAGTGAAGGATTAGGGGTCTTGGTTTGGGTGGAGAGATTAGGATGTTGTGCAGTTGAAGCCGATTGTTTTCAGCATCAAGCCTATTTAGGAAGACAAGACTGGAATGAAGACCCCCAGCCACTGGAACGTTTACTGGCACCATGGGACTAATTGATGGTGTCCCCCATTCACTCCCATTTCCTTTCTGAATTTAGAAAGAGAAAGATGAAGTACCAAGCACCCCTCAGCTTGCACCAGGAACCAGGCCTCTGCCTAATGACAAGCACAAATCCATCTTAGCTCACTGGAGACTAATTGCGCTGTTAGTAGCAACATCCAAGGTGGATGTTGAAGATTATCTTTTGACTTGGAGTGTGTGCTGTTCCCAGACTGCTGAGGTGTATAAGTGAGCAATTAAGTCGTGAGGGTGGAGGGAAGAAGAGGAATGTAATCACTGGCACGGGTGCAGAAGATGGAATTAGAATTCTCTGCGTGTGATGGTTCTTGGTTTTAAATGTCTCCTGTTGCTTTATGTTCAAACTGCAGCGACAGAGCTGATGTAATGTGAATTTTCTGGTTGTGAAACTGTAGGAACAGGTGTCCTACAGAAGAGATCCTCTGCTCCTCGGGTCCTGGCTTGCTGCTGCCTCTCTTGCCATCCAACATCTCAGCATGCTTTTTTCCTGATCTCCAGCACCTCCTGCTGATGGAGTCTGGCCCTTTCCGCACAGCAATGCTGATCCTGCACTTCCCTGGCCCATGCTTGGCAGCGGTGCTAAGTCAGTCAGTAAGTCAAGGACAGGGTTTTTATCTGACTGTAGCCACGTCCTGCCCTGCCGAGTTTGCCAGGCATCCTGTGTGATACGTGTTGCAGAGCAGAACTGTATCTCTCCTCTTGAAAAACTCTGCTTTCTCTTGTATTTTTTTATGGCAACTGGCCACTTTGCTGAATGCTCATCAGTCAGTTATCAGGAGCCAAGAGAAAGGGCTCCTGGGGAGGTGCAGATACATCATGGGTGCTCTGCGCTTCTCAGAGCATCTTTCTGCTCCAGTATGGGACACTTGCTGCGCTGGATGCTTAAGCCCCATAGAACTACCTAGGATTCATTGTCCGAGCCTGGCATCCTCCCTCTAGCTCTGTCCATGGCAGCTCTGGAATCCCACTTTCCAGCCAGGTTTCCAGGTCCCTCCTGCTGCAGTAACTCCTGGGGAAGGGTTGGCAAAATGTCTGATTATGGTCAAGGTTGGGTCTGCCCAGGCAGTGCTTTCAGCAGTTGTAGTTAACGAAGTGGTGGCATCTCTTATGCAGGGTACCAAGTGGCTGGGGCTCGCAGACCCCACTAGTGGGCTGGTTGCTCGGCCACTTCCACCTGGGAGCAAACCTGGCAAAACCTCATGGCAGTTGCTATAATCACTTTAAAGGGTGCAGTTGATGGGGAGCTGGTGGGAAGCCTTTTGCTGTGGGCTGTGTTAGTGTTAGGGGACCTCTGTTTTAAATCAAGAATAGTTTTGTTGAAGCATCATGGGAAGTTCTGTGGTAATTAATGAAGGCAGTTTTGCCTTGCTCTCTGTGGGGTACTGTGCCTGGCAGGGTCTTCACTTAAGGAGTTTCCATCATTGTGACTTGTGTGACAAGATTTCCTCCTTTGCTGTGCCCTAGAACAGTGAAGCCGTTTCATTTTCTGTGCAGAGCACTTACGTTTTGAAGGGTCGCTCTGTTTTGGGGCTATGTTTCTAACCAGAGTTACTGCAGATCAGAAGAAACACTTGCTCCCTGCTCTCTGGATATTCTCCTCAAATAAGCTGCTCTGAACAAAAATTAATGTTGCACACACAGAGTAAATTGTATAACTGGGAACTGCTTCAGATATTAGGAAATGCCAGACATCAGTACTCGAGGGATTTCTGAATTCATTATAGGGAAAAGCTCATTTCTAGCTTAACATTCCTTCTGAAAATGGTGTATGCTTTCCTATAAGCACAAGGTGCTGCTCTTTAATGGCCCAAGCCAGGCCTGCTGTTTGTGTATAAATGGCCTCATATCAAGCAGATATTGTGAATTTTTATAGTCGGAGCAAGGCTCAGCAGCTCTGGAAGAGCATGTGAGTTGATGGTTTTCAGTGGACTCAATCTGCAGTGTGATCACAGGTGGAAAGTTTAAAGCAGCTTGAATGTTCCCAGGTTTTACTTATCCATGCTTTGGAAAGAGGAATTTGTATTTAATGTCAATTTCCCCCCTCTCTCCTCTTTTGCATTTAGGATTCTAGCAACCGCTGGGACTGATTTTGACCTGCGGACCCTGCGAGCCGTCCGAGTGTTGCGACCCCTGAAGCTCGTGTCAGGAATCCCAAGTGAGTGTCACGATAACATCACCTTACAGCCACAGGGGCTCTGTACCTTTTGGGGTGTTACAAGCTTTTCTCGGCAATATTTCCTTCCCCTGTTTCCCTGTGGTCTGTGGCTCTTGCCCTTGCTATGCTCTGGTTTCCTGCCATCTCATTCTGCATACAGCCAGCTGATTTCAGCACTGCGCTTCCAAACTTGCAAGTGAGCGGCAGGGATTTGTCCTAAGACTCCTTTGCCTTTTGGGGTTGAATTAATTCTCTGGGCTGTGAAGATCTGAGACCCAAATTCTGCAGCTTTTAGACCCCTGAGCTTGGATCTTCTGACAGATTTTACCAGCTGAGCATCTTGCAGCAGGGATTTGGCCTCTTTAATAACAAAGGCAAAGAGCGGATAGAACTTGCTCTTGCCTACTCAATGAGCAACTTGATATATTTTATGTGTTAACATGAAGGGTCTGAATGCTCCAGTGAGGAGCTGCATCATGCCTTGCTGATGCCCTGAAGCTATCAGACTCCCAACCCCATTGTTTAATACCTTTTTATTTGTCACTCTTCACCAGCCACTCTGAGGGTATTTCATTTCTGAATGTTGAACAGAGAGGTTTTTCCCTGCAGCAAGAGCCAATGAAAGGGAACTGCTGCTCTGTGGGATGCTCTGCTCTTCTCTGCATTAACCCCCTCAGCAGCCAGGCTGCTCCCTCTGCTCCACCAGCTCTGTCCCTGTACTGGCTGCTTCAGGGCTGAAATGTCAGTGCTGTAGAAATCCAGCCAAGGGTTATGCTTTGTAGTAACAGCACCCAAATTTCCTGAACTCAGCATCCTTTTCATGGACAATCTGAATTCCCATACAGGATTTGCCCTTGGCTAGCCTCGGCAAAGGGTCATTTATTAATGGGATCTCTAATAAGGAGGTGCTTCTGATGTTTTTTCATGGACTTTTTGCTTGTGCAAGGCACCTATGGTGCTGTGATAGTGACAGGACATCAGAGAAGTAAGGTGGCCCTTCAGGGGTACCCCTGTCCTGCTGTGGGTTGCATGTTCCCCGCAGGGTGATGTGCTCTCCCACCCAGTGATGTGTCCTGGACCAGCGCAGTATTTTCCCACAGGGCATTAATCGCTCTCCTGTTTTTTAGTGATGCTGTGGAGGCAGCACAAGCATCTTATTTGCTTTTCTTCTACATTCTCAGTGTTCTTCCTGTCCAACAGGTCTTTGTGCTTTTTTCCTGCATGCGCCCGTATTGACCTCAGTAGTGTTGTACAGGGTGGCAAGACAATGATGATCCTTTATTTTCCACACCTTAGGACAGGTCACTAAGGGATGTTTCAGCTGATAACTTATCACTGAAGGTTTTTTGTTATGCGTGTCTGTTTGATGTTATCTGAAACCTCCATCTCCAGGCTTATCTCCCCTGGGTTTAATTGAAAATGAGTTTTAGTGCCAGCAAAAAGCTATGGATGGATAGCCCTGGAGACAGGGTTGTGTTTCTCCAGAGTCAGGGTGTGACAGGCACAGCAGCATCATGGCTGTTCTCTGTGTCAGCAGCAGCAGGGGCAGCTCCAGTGTAGCTCAGTGCTCCCTGCTCTCCCTGGCATGCCCACTGCTGCAGGGTCTGCCTTACAGACCTGCTCCCACTCCAGGCTGAGCCCTGGGACTCCACCAGCTTCAGAAAAAGTCCTTTTTGTGCCTCTGAGGCTTAAGAGAACTTGAATCTCATCTTTACTTCGAGTCTCCTTCCCTGTGAGGGTGCTGGGGTACCGGCACAGGGCACCCAGAGAAGCTGTGGCTGCCCCATCCCTGGCAGTGTTCAAGGGCAGGTTGGACACAGGGGCTTGGAGCAAGCTGCTCTAGTGGAAGGGGTCCCTGCCCGTGGCAGGGGTTGGAGCTGGAGGAGCTTTAAGGTCCCTTCCAACACAAACCATTCCATGGTTCTGTGAATCTGCAGCCTGAAGGAAAGAGGTCAGGAAAAGATAACTCCTGATGGTTTCTCTTGCATCTTGAGTGCATTATGGCTATTGCATTTTTTCATAGCACCCTGGGAAAGGCATCTTTGCTTGGTATTGCCAATCCTAAACTTCCCCTTAGACAGCCCCTCTCTCCTACCTCACCCCACCCCTAAGCCCTTGTTTTCCTTCCCTCACTGATTACCTGTTTTTCCTTGTCCCCACAGGCTTGCAGGTTGTCCTCAAGTCCATCATGAAGGCGATGGTGCCCTTGCTTCAGATCGGACTGCTCCTCTTCTTTGCCATTGTGATGTTTGCCATCATCGGGCTGGAGTTTTACATGGGGAAGTTCCATAAAACCTGCTTCTCTAATGAGACGGGTGAGCTTCGAGCTTTCCTCCCCTCCCAGCACATTGTCATGATGCTTCTAGTCCCCTTCACCTCACCAGGATGCTTTCTGCCCTGCTCTTATGTTGCTTTTCCTTTTTCCACGTTCACTGCATTCTCTCCCTCCTTACCCACCTACTTCAAGACTTAACAGACTTTTGTGTTCACCTTGCGTGTGCTGAGCAGATTCTCCTCTCTGCTGTGCCACCATGGGAAACCTGAGTTTGGGTTTCTCTGTCTACTCAAGAATGAGGGGAAGGTGCTTAGGGCTTCCTTTCATGGTAGCATTTATCTGTAGTACAAATACAGAACCAAATTCCTGTTGTTCCGGCTTGTTTAAGGCTTTTTTGGGTCGTTTTTTTGGCTCACTGGTCTGTTTCCACTTTCACTGGGTTTATCTCCATGACAGCTGCTGAACGTTGAACTTCCTTGCAAGGTTTCTAGGGCATGTTGCATGGGTAGGAGAACTTTGGTGTGAAATAGTAAGATTAGAAAGACTGGGAGCAACCTGAAAGGCGATAGATGGAAGGCAAGGAGCCTTTTCATGGAGAAAGGATAAAAATGTCCTTCAAACAGAGAAAAACAAGGGAAATCAGGCACTGCAGAATAAATTATGTGTCTCCTTATGAATGAGGGATAAATCCCAAAAGATGGAGGTGGAGAAGAAGGATGCTTGAAGACCCTGGGCTGGGACTGGTTGCCATGTCACAGGATCCATGCCAGTTTAAAACCAAAGAAGCCTAATTTTGCCATCTAATTCCTCAAATCTTTAAATATTCCTTTATAGTAGTGCTGGTTATCTGGGCTGTCCACAGCTGAAAACATAGTTCTTGTCTCCAAAAGATTGCAATTTAAGGCACAATTGACTGTCTTTAAACACAGTCTTGTATTTTCAGTGATTATCACTAATAGGTCTTAATATTGATTTATTTATATGCATTCAAATGGTAATAAAACATCCCTGCCAAATCTCTGGGCATCCTTCACAGCGCTTTCTAACAATGTGGAAGCAGTTTCATATATTCCCTTTACAAAAGCAGGGTGAAATTGTTTCCTTGCTTCCTATGTTAGTTAGAAAAACATAATGCAACTTGTGAAGGACAACCAGGTTGTATGATCTGGTTGGATGTGACTTGGAGCAAGCTGCTCTAGTGGAAGGTGTCCCTGCCCATGGTAAGGGGTTGGAACTGGATGAGCTTTAAGGTCCTTTCCAACACAAACCATGCTGGGATTCTATCATTCCTGGAAGAAATGAAGTTTTGGACTGGATTTGTAGGATATAGCTATCTTTTTGCAGGAGGTGTGTGTGTTCATGCCAAGCAGAACACGTCTCAACCCACTGCAGCACCTCTGGGGCTATGCAACCATTACAGAGGAATAACAACAGTGACAATATAGGCATGTAGGAGGCAGAAGTGTTCTTGGCAGGGAGAAAGCAGTTACAAGTAGGTCTGCATTTTCTAGGAGCATTTTCAGGTGTGTTAAATTGCACCTAGGGTGGGTGATTTTTTTGCACCCTTCGTTTGCAGGTAGTGGCTGTAGGCTGAGCTCTGAGGCTCTTATGGCCAGTGGTACTTATGGGTCGTATTTGGCTATTGGCCTAAAGAGAAGAGGGGTTATTTTTAACTTCCCCCAGAAAACAGTTAATAGAAAAGCAGAAAATAAATCCCAAAGCTGTGTTGTCTGCAGGAAACATTCCAGCATCAGTGATGTCTGAGAGGTCTCTGTGCAAGGTGCAAGGCTTGGGGTCTGAGAGCAGATTTCTGTTGTGTTTAAGTGACTCTTGTTTGCTGGGTGGCTTCCGGCTAGGAATTGGGAGTGCAGCTGACAAACTGTTGTGTGTGCTGAATATCTTTGCATTACAGCACCCAGCATCTCAGTGAGAGGATGCAGGATCTCGCCTCCCCCTGAATCCACTCACCAGGAAGTAGGGGAAGGTACCCTCATGAACAGGCACTGGCCCCTGCTTTTCCCAAGGGGTATGAGCTGGTTGTTGGATGAATGATGGGCATTGATTCCTCCTGCTCGGCGGGAAATAGCATGATGGTGTTTCTGGAAAGGCAGAGAGTGGTGAGGTTTCCTGGCGCTGGGGTCCCTTGTGAGCTGAGCAGCACAACATCCCACAAAACCATCAGCAGAGCCTTTTAAAACCTAAGTGCTCATCATCTTCAAAGAGGTGCATTAACAAGCACAGGCCTGATACCATGGGCTCCAAAGGCTGGCTTGAGTGTGGAAATGTGAACCTCATTAACTGATGCCTCTGTCAGAGGGTAGCAAATTGGTGGAGGAGCTGTTCGTGCTTGTTTCTGTTCCAAATCCTCAAAGTGAGCAAACTCCTGGGATTTTTCCTGGAATCAGGAGCCACATGAGAGGTACCAGCTGTTCCTTCAGCACATCATGAAGGGAACAGAGTAGAGGTGTCAGCAGCAAATGTTGCTACAGCCCTGCTAATCCAGTAGCCTTGGGTAGGTCAGTAATAAGCGTCAACAGAGAGGGATGCTGGGGATCAGAACACAGCAAAAGGGTTATTTAAGGCTATTGCCACTCAGCCTGACAGGTTGTTCTGAGCTAGTGGAATCAGTTATCTATTTTAATGGAAAATGGGTAAAATTTAATGCCAGTGCATGTTTCAGTGCATGCCTGACTTGTTTTTCCCCTCCCTACATCCTCTGTGCTCACCTGTTCTGCTGGATTATCTTAAAGCAGCCACTCTCTGCGGCTCTGGAGCCCAAGTGCCCCAGAGCCATTCCAAGAGAGGAGGGCATCACGTTTGTTTCCCATTTTACATTGAGTCTCCCCCCTTTTCTCTGTCTTTCCTAGCCATGGGAGTAGGGACCAGTTCTGGTCTCCCTTTTAAAAAGGAGAGACCTTCACAGTAGGTGTGCCTTGCATTTTCAGAGCATTGCCTGGCAATAAAAGGCCAAACAGAGATAAAACTGGATCCTATTTTAAAACACACTCACAAATGGTCTGCAAGGGTCGGATTCGGTATTTTCTTTTTGCTTGTCTCACTAAGCCCTTGTGAAAGCCTGTGGTGGCCCATATGGGAGCTGGAGAGAGATGCCCTGCATTAAGGTGTTGAGTCAACAGGAAAACACGTCACACACTCACATATATATATCTCTATCTCCTGGAGCCACAGTGCCAGTCTTGTTTTCCTCCTGCAGGCTTTGCTCTATGGAATGATTATTCCTAATTATTAGTTAGTGCTGATCTTGTTTTCCCCTGGTGAATCTGATTCTGTGCTGTTTGCTGCTCCATTACCATAACACGTCACTTTTAAACCCCTTTCATATCTCCCGAATTGCATCTCTGTGTAAACGGCAGTATTACTTAGTATATTTATTTACTTTGAAAACCCCAGGACTTTAGTCTTCCAAACTGCTCTGTGTTGGTGCTCTCAGCATCTCTGGAGGGCTGCAACACTTCACAGCTGAGCCTGGAAGATGCTGGCCACCATTCTGGCCATCCACTGTGGTCCTTAACTATGACAGACACATCCTCCTGTGCCTTCTGTGGGTCTGAAATGAAACTCATCAGAGAAACTCCATCCCTGCTGCCGACAAGCTGATGGCTGGATGCTTTCCCTGACAAGTGTACCTGCAATCTGCCCTTTTGGGACAGGAATATGAAGCTTGCAAAGAGGCTGGAGCTCTTAGTTCACCTCACAGACTGCTGTGGTCATACATTGTGAGGAAGCCGTGCAGCTGTGGTTTAACATTTGTGTTTGGGCAATCCTGGGGCTATCCACAGGCCACTCCTGCTTAAACCACTGGTGTAGAATTTGCCTTTTTGATTTCATGTCATAGGGCTGATATTTAGCACTGAACTGTGCTGTATGAGGATGTCTGTTCAGCTTACAGTGTTTGAAGTATGCACCATTCCCAACCCCTTGCTTTTACCACATTGGGCTTTTTCTGTGGCATTCCTTATATATGACATGACCAAACACTGGGGCAAACTAGAAATTATGGGTACTTCAGGGATGGCTCTGCTCCACCCTGCCATTGAATCACCCCAGAGCAGTATATAAGTGATTACATGGGTTTAATCTCTTCTATTTTCCCACAGTGGCACAAGGAAGCCTGAATTCCACCCAGGCAGTGGTGCCAGGAGGATGCAGCAGCACCAGCTGCTTGGCTGGCTTCAGCTGGTAACTTTTGCCCCGGTTGCTGTTCTCTGCAGGTGATGAGGTGGGAGATTTCCCTTGTGGAGAGGAGCCTCCTGCCAGGCAGTGTGAGAGTGGGACCACCTGCAGGGAGTACTGGCAAGGACCCAACTACGGCATCACCAACTTTGACAATATCCTCTTTGCTGTGCTCACCGTCTTCCAGTGCATCACCATGGAGGGATGGACCGACATCCTCTACAACGTGAGTCCGCTGCTGGGTGCTGTGATGCATTGTGGTAGTTTGTAAAAGGTTGTTCTGGATAAAAGTAATTTAGTTTGTGCTTTTTTCCCTTATTGGTTAGTGCCCCATCCTGCTTTTTAGGATGATTTATCCTTTTTTTTCAGGGCTGCTTTGTAGGTCCTGTAGCAGCCTTTGAACCACTGATGTGGTGTGAGGCTGCAGACTTGCTCACCTGCAACATGATGTGTTGTGGCAGCGTGGTGTTGCCATATGTAAGAGCTAGTGTTTGTTACTCCAAGATGCTACTGTGCTCTGCTGTAGGGTGGGTGAGTAGGAGCATGTTCTCATGATGCCCCATAATCAGTTACCAAATTGCACAGTATAGGGTGGCAACACCAGTGACTCGTTGATATTTTGTACTTAGAGGTTGACTGGGTTGTGATCCAACTTGTGATCCAACTTGCAATCCACACCAGTGAACAGCATCAGCTGGATGTTAGCACTGAGATCCAGTGCTAGTTTTGGCAACTCCAGTGCAGCTTTACAAAGCCTTATCAGTCACCTTCACACCTGATATGACCCTGTTGGCTGTAGAGAGGATATACCAGGCTGAATTTCCACGCTTAGGGTCTTTGCTGTCTGTGCCTCCTGCCAGCCAGAGCCATGCCTGTCACAGCCAGTCAAGGTCAAAACCTCTTGGTCAGTTTTGCTATTTTTCAGTTTTACAATTGGAAATACAATAGAGTAGAGCAAACTCACCCAGTTAGCAACAACTGAATGACTCCACTGGCTTTCAGGCAGTGCAATGCTCTCATCTGTGTCTCTAATTCATACCTACACATTTGAGGTGTCCTGTCTTGAGAGGCAAGCACCTAACCCTTATAACAGTTTGGGAATAGAGCCCTTCATCTGGGTTCTAGCATCTGTACCATTTTCCTCACAAAGTGTGAGAGCTGCTCTTCAGGAGCTCTTAAGGGACCTGTATGTCTGTTGCAGACCTGTTCTCCCCAGCTTTGTGATTTGCTTAGCTCTTCAGGTGTTTCTGCAGTGGGTGTAAAGTGCTGTGGTTTGGGTATGGAGGGCGGTCCAGCTGATTTGGACTTAATTTTCTATGGTAGTAAAGGACTTTATCAGGTACAGAGCAGGAAGGAGAGAGCGAGTGATGGTGGCAGCAATATATGGCTATGCTGGCTGCTTCTTTACACTGATTGTAGAAGGAAGGACAATCTGACAGCTGAGCACAGATGGTCTGAATTACACCACACTCTCCTAGCCAGAAGTGTCCATGTGGGAAAATAACTAAGGTAGGCATCAATAATGCCTCCAGACCAGTTCACTGGCCATTAAGACTACAAATTGACCAGTCTACTTCATTATGGACTCTAGACAGATGCTGGGCTTTTCCACAGAGCTTCCTGTGAGGGTTTCTGTAACAACAGGAAAGTATTATTAATATCAGCCAGAGCAAATTATGTACAATTTTGCTGTGTTCGAAGCCAATATATCTGATTTAATACCGTCTCCATTTGTCCCCCGGTTTCTTCATTTCTTCCCAGTCTCTGCCCAGTTACAGCTGTCTCTAGAAGGGCCTGTTTCCCCACTGCATGCCCTTCCCTCACCCTGAAACTTCATCACACAAGCAGTTTTTCCCATTCTCATTCAGTAACCCTGCTCCTTCCCTTCTAATGCCAACCGTTGTAAGAAAAGCCCATTAGCATCCTGCTTGGAATTGATTAATCAATATGTGGTGTATTAGGTCAGCTTCTTCCAAACTGCCTTTAGTTCCACAGGCAAAAAAACAGAGCTTACTATTGGCGTATTGATTTTGGGGGTTGCTTTGAAAAGTATTATAGTATCATTCTAGATACCTGTTAATCGGAAACAGATACCTGGATGAGATGCAGTTGAGTATTCGTTATATACAATGCCAAACACTGTCTGAGACCCCAGCTTAGGTTTTAATGCTTAGAGGGTTCATGTCTCTGTCAGACATGGGGGTCTCTTGTTATAAATATGGATCAAATAAATTGACGAGAGCCACACCAATGAATCAAATCAGTTTATTGAGCAAGCGACAGCAAGCAAAACAGCGCTGGGCGGCCGGGGAGTCTCCGCTCCGCCAACGGCACTCACCCCACTTCCCCAAAGCCACTGGTTTTATACTCTTCTTCATCCAATATACGTGTCACCTCCTGGCGTCCTCTGCCTCTGTGTGATCTCACAGGGGTCTCATTCTGTCTTCCAGTGGGTGTGGGGAGGAAGGCTCCTTATTGCCTTCCCCAAGCATAGTTTACTTTAACGGATACCCGTGGTCTATAAGCAACATGTCAAAGCACCGTAATTTTCCAGTAACTATTAAGCAAGCAAGTAACTAAGCAAGTAACTCCTAAGCAAGCAAGATTTGATTAACAGGAATTTACTCATTACACTCTGAACAGTCAGCTTGAGGGGTCGGGGGTGAGTGGTGTGTGTTGCGCCATAGAATCACAGAACCAACCAGGTTGGAAAAGCCCTTTCAGCTCATCCAGTCTGACCATTCCCAGCACTGCCAAGGCCACCACTAACCCATGGCACTGAGGCCTCGTCTCCACGCTGTGTGAACACTTGCAGGGACGGTGACTGCAGCCCTGCCCTGGGCAGCCTGTTCCAATGCCTGAGCACCCTCTGGGGAAAGAACTGTTCCTCAGCTCCACCTAAACCTTCCCTGGTGCAGCTTGAGGCCGTTTCCTCTTGTCCCATCCCTTGTTCCTTGGGAGCAGAGCCCAGCCCCTCCTGGCTCCATCCTCCTGTCAGGTAGACCTTCAGGTCTACCAGGTAGGTCCTTTCAGGATCATTGGGCAGTGTCCATGTAGCTGGTGCCAGCAGTGTCTCTGTCCCATCTCCTTTAGCCCTGTCCTGCATGCTGTGTCATCCCTCCCATGCTGCTCCACTTACTGAGGAGCTGGATGTGCTTTTGGAAGTCAGTAGCCAAGGAGAAGGTCCATGGGTGGAGAAGATCCACTCTGTGCAGCCCTTAAGTTGCTCACAGCTTCAGTTTTCTGCTGTTTTCTGGTCACTTGGCTTTTGTCTTGGTTTCTTCTGTGCCTACTCTGAGTTCATCAAATTTAGAAATGAAACAAACTCCCAAACCAGGCTGCAGCAATGACTGAAAATCCAGTGTTGGTGGGTGTTTGAAGATGCAGACTATGCAGAGCTAACAGCAGTGCAACCAGCCTGTCCACCCAGCACCAATTCACAGCTGCACAGTAATGCTGCCTGAATCAGCTGGGTCCCAACTGGACCTATAATGGTTGATATGGGAAGAAGCAGGAAGGTGTTGCCTCTTGCACCCAGAAACTGAATGGTGGGGTAAGTGAGTTCTCCTTGGTTTGTGGACTGTAATAAACCAGCATATTTAGACTCAGACAACAGGTGAGTATTAGATTATTACTTGTTCAGGGAATTTGATTCCCATTTGTATCCTCTACTGCTGTAGACAAGGTGGCTGGACAGGAAGATTTTTGCACTGATGGAACTTGTTTCCCTGCCATCCCAGTTTCCTCAAGGAAACCAGCAGCCCCCAGGTGCAGGACACTCATCAGAGCTGAGCTGTGAACTTACTTTCAGTGTTTTGCTTAACTAAGGTTTGCAAACGGCTGCGGGACCGCAAGAGGCAAGATGCGGTCTATGCAAGCTGTGATTACGTGGTAGTAAGAAAAGAGACTTGTGCTTTTTCTCTCACTAACCAACTAAAAAGCAGGGAAAGCTGCTTCTCCTCAGGTGTAGCAGAGCACTTCCTTCACCCCTCTCTTTGTGCCGGGTTCAGTTGGGGTAGGTTTCTTGCCTTGCTTGTGCAAAATCCTCTCCCTTCCTGCTGTTAAAGCAGCCAGACTACAGGGGGCCCTTTCTTAGGGCTCAAATCCCTTTGATGCCAGCTAGTCTAGGACCAAGACCCATTAGAGGGAAGTTGAGGTTACGACTCTTTCCTTAATGGGCCATTCATTTCCTTCTGCAAAATGGTGATTGATTGATTGCTCTGCATCAATAGGGCTTTGTTATTGCTCCTCTTTTCCTGCTACTTCATTTGCTGCGGGGTTTTTGGTTTTCAGTGATGATGGCTGGGGTCACTCGCAGGATGAGGCTGTGCTTTACTAGTTCAGCATTCGTTTAACTAAGGGAGAGAGTTTGCTCTGTCCTGAAAGCACCTTTGAGACTGAAAAGTTGGTTTATGGTGGCTTCAGGACAGCAGAAGAGTTTGGTGTAAAGTGATGTTCAGGTGAGAGGGAGCTTGGGTCCGAGTTTGATGGTTTAGCTCGGGTCTTTCCAAAGGGAAAGGCTTGCTGTGAAGGATTATTCAGTCATTTCCGAAGGACTGAGATGACTTTATATGTGGTCCAGATGCAGCCTGCCTGCAGATTTAGAGAAAAACAGCATCAAAAGCTAGTCTTTGCAATAAGAAATCAACCTTGCAAATATTCACTCCTCCTCCTATGATAAACTGAGGAATTGGGAGGGCAGGGAGAATGCAAGCTCACAAATTCCACCCTGATTTTTATTTGCTGATCCACTGTTTATAGTTTCCCAGAGTTGCAGTTTAATTAAGGCCAGTGCAAGCTTTCTAATAGAGCTTTATCTGGAAGGAGGTTTGTGCTTGAAGGAAAAAGACTGACTCATCAATGGGGTAAAATGCTTTAAGAATCAGCTGGGGAAACCTCTTTCCTGAATCAGCAGCGCAACAGCATCAGAACAATTGCTCCAAACAAGCTCTTCACGAGCTGCAGATTTGTCAGCTGTGGAACTCTTTCTACTCAGAAAAGGTCCAAGTAGCAACAAGTGATTTGGGAAGGTTGCTGTGCCCTGAGGACAGGGAAAAACCTTTTCCTCCAGCAAATGGAGTGCATTTACCTCCTGTTAATCAAAGGCTTCAACGTGATCTGGGAATACATGAAAATAGAGTAACTAAACTGCTTTCCTCTGTGGAAGGACTTGATGCAGACTGATCAGAGACCCCTGAAGGTACAGACAGAGCATCTTTTGGACTG